TGCCCCCCCCCCCGTGAAAGTGTAAGGGGTAGTGGTTACACCAAATACAGTAACATTGCAAATAAACACACCTTAAAAAAAGTCCTTTATTTGGAAAAAAAAACCACAGCACAGGTTTTTGACAATTCTTTTATAAAACAAATAAAATGAAAATGTCATGCTATGTATTCCACAGGTCAATCTCATCATCCAGTGATGTAGATCCACATCAATCACGATGGACGATGGACACGGACTCGCCGAAAAACCCCCACCTTGAAACGACCGATCCCAATGAACTCTCGCCTCAAAATGACAGTTCTGCTCCTGAATGTCAACACAGGGATGCAGCGAGTTATGACATCACAGGACTTGTTCTGCCCCTTTGTTTACATGGGGGCACCCTTCAGATAAAGTGTACTTATCCTTTTTGCCATTTTGCTCTGACGTAATCCCACCCCTACCCAGTCCAGTGACCTGCACTAGAAGTGAGGACATCGAGGGACATTCCATAACTGGAGTGGAGAGGGGAAGGTGAGAACTGTGCCACCACAGGACCGAGGATCAGGTGAGTAATACAGCTTTATCTAAACCCCCTAGACAAAACCAACACTTAACTCTTGCCATGCAGGGGTAGCCTCATTATAGGGAAAAGTTATTAAAATTCCCATTTTTATTCATTAAAACAAATAGTCAGCATGACAGCCAAGAAACTAGCATTTTTAAGAGAGGTCAGCAGAGGTTTCTGTCTAGCAGGTTTGATCGTAACAGAAAGAAGGTCATTGATCCTGCTTGTTCACCTGATCAGTAGTTTCATTTACAAATTCCTCAAATAAAGTGAAGGACACAATGAGTGCAGGTTTCAGTGATAAGCCTGTCTGTGTAATCTTTCAATCTGATAGACCACCAAAGGCTGATAGATCTCATCACCTCAATCATAGTGATCAGAGCACTTCCACAGCTTGATCTCTGCACGGAGCTCCTGTACTCAGCAGTCATTGAGGGATTCATGGTGACTGGGAAGGAGGCAAAGAGCTGACTTATCTCTACTAAGGCACGCCTATCCGATGGCCATTGCCAAATCACATGAGGCATAGAGTGACCAATGTGACAGCAGGGCCATTCCCTGCAGGTAAAGCTTACCTGTCACCTAAGCAGTGCAAACTTCATAGAGGAGGACGCGCTGATGTTGGCAGCCACCGCCATGAACGCGGAGGAGCAGTACTATCCTGCAGCCCAGCTGTATAAGGACTCCTGTGCCTTCCAGAGGGGTCAGGACTACAGCCCCAGCCCCCCAGCCTGCCTGTACATGGGACGACAGCAAGCAGCCACTTACTCCAACCCCATGATCGCTCTGGATCCAGGAAGTCCCCCTGATATCTCTCCCTATGAGGTGCCCACAATACCAGAAGACCCGGTAGTGCCCCATCTTCATCACCACCATCATCACCACCACCCAGGAATGCATCACCCCCACCAGCAAACCATGCCTTATCCTGAGGACACAGATCCTGGACTCTTAGATGAGCGGAACCGGACCATCCTACCCTTCCCGTGGATGAAATCCACAAAGTCACACGCCTGGAAGGGCCAGTGGGCAGGTGAGTGCCAGCTTCAGCCATGTTTCTATGGTGTATGGGTCAGAGGGTGACAATGTGCTGTACACTCCCAGATAGGGCAATATGGAGGGACAGGCTGGCAAGACTCAGAGAAGAACAGAGAGGCCAAACCTCCCCTATACAGTACAGACAGGCGGCACCGGTTCAGCATTTGTCAGACCTGCTCTGGGCTGGTACCCCTAATGTACAGAACAGCCAAGCCGGTACCCCTAAAATACAGAACAGCCAAGCTGATACCTATACCGAACAAGCAAACTGGCACCAATAATATATAGATCAGCCAGGTTGGTACCCCTAATATACAGAACAGCTAAGCTAGCTGGCACCAAAAATATATAGAACACCCAGGTTGGTACCCCAATAAAAAAGAACAGACATGCAGGCTGGTAACCCTGTATAACAGCTAAGCTGGCACCAATAATATATAGAACACAGGTTGGTACCCCGATATAAAGAACAGACATGCAGGCTGGTACCTGTACAGAACAGCCAAGCTGGCACCAATAATATATAGACTACCCATGTTGGTACCACGATGTATAGAACATCCAGGCTTGTACCCCTAATATACAGAACAATGAAGCCCCCATATTCAGAGCTGGGAGACTGGAACCTTTTGTACACAAAACAGTAAAACTGGTACAGAGCAGTGAAAGTGGCACCTCTTATATACAGAGCAGTGAGAGTGGCACCTCTTATATACAGAGCAGTGAGAGCGGCACCTCTTATATACAGAGCAGTGAAAGTGGCACCTCAATATACAGAGCAGTGAGAATGGCACCTCTTATATACAGAGCAGTGAGAATGGCACATCTTATGTACAGCAGTGAGAATGGCACCTCTTACATCCATAACAGTCAGACTGGTACCTATTGTATACAGAACATTGGGGATGGCACCTCTGTGAGAATATTACCTCTATTATACAGAGCAGTAAGAATGGCATGTCTATTATACAGAGCAGTAAGACTGGCATCTCTATTATACAGAGCAGTAAGAATGGCACCTTTTTTTTATACAGAGCAGTAAGAATGCCACCTCTATTATACAGAGCAGTAAGACTGGCGCCTCTATTATACAGAGCAGTGAGAATAGCACCTCTTATATACAGAACAGTGAAAATGGCACATCTTATGTACAGCAGTGAGAATGGCACCTCTTACATCCATAACAGTCAGACTGGTACCTATTGTATACAGAACATTGGGGATGGCACCTCTGTGAGAATATTACCTCTATTATACAGAGCAGTAAGAATGGCATCTCTATTATACAGAGCAGTAAGAATGGCATCTCTATTATACAGAGCAGTATGGCTGGCACCTCTATTATACAGAGCAGTAAGGCTGGCACCTCTATTATACAGAGCAGTAAGGCTGGCACCTCTATTATACAGAGCAGTAAGAATGGCACCTCTATTATACAGAGCAGTAAGAATGTCACCTCTATTATACAGAGCAGTAAGAATGGCACCTCTATTATACAGAGCAGTAAGACTGGCACCTCTATTATACAGAGCAGTAAGAATGGCACCTCTATTATACAGAGCAGTAAGACTGGCACCTCTATTATACAGAGCAGTAAGACTGGCACCTCTATTATACAGAGCAGTAAGAATGGCACCTCTATTATACAGAGCAGTAAGACTGGCACCTCTATTATACAGAGCAGTAAGAATGGCACCTCTATTATACAGAGCAGTAAGAATGGCACCTCTATTATACAGAGCAGTAAGACTGGCACCTCTATTATACAGAGCAGTAAGACTGGCACCTCTATTATACAGAGCAGTAAGAATGGCACCTCTATTATACGGAGCAGTAAGAATGGCACCTCTATTATACAGAGCAGTAAGAATGGCACCTCTATTATACGGAGCAGTAAGACTGGCACCTCTATTATAGAGCAGTAAGAATGGCACCTATATTATACAGAGCAGTAAGACTGGCACCTCTATTATACAGAGCAGTAAGACTGGCACCTCTATTATACAGAGCAGTAAGACTGGTAGCATCAAGACTGGTTCATCTTATATACTGAACCCTGACAATGGCACCTATTATATACAGAACAATGAGAGTGGCACATCTTATGTATAGAGCAGTGAGATTGGTACAGGGCAGAGAGACTGGTACCTCTTACACACAGTTCATTGAGATAGTACTTCCTGTATACAGAACAATGAGACTGGTACCTCTAATATACACTCACTCTATAGGAACACACAATAACACAAATAGTAGATGAGGAATGGTTGCAAAGCAACAAGCGGTATATCCCTCTGTATGATGAAATGCATCCAGGTGACACTATTTCTCTGTGTACTAACAAATGCACGGAGAGACCGATTTACTAAAGGTGTTGAGAGTCTTCACTTAATTGTGTGAAGCTTCACTTCAATTATGCAACCGTGTAAAACACAAATAACGTGTAATTGTTTCATCTGCACTTGATTAGGTACTCAGCGTGAATACGGCTCATTTTTATTGAGTAATAATTATCATCTTCTGCAACACAGATATAACTACAGAGTAGTGATACATATGTGCATGCCACCGATACTGGTCACGGTAGATACTGACAAACTCATTCTGCAAAAAGAGAGAGGGAGAGAGATAGAGGGGGGGGGAGAGTGGGAGAGAGAGAGACTCAAGATTCTGATGCTCTTCTATGAGGCTGTGATGTCATCTCATTGTGAAAATCAATTTCTTTATAGCCCCATATGCATTCTAGTGTGATAAATACAGTATGTAATACAGAACTCCAATCCTGAACAAGTGCACAATACTAATCGCTGATTGAACAGTCCTGTTTGAACACGTGACTTACACAATCCAATATATCGATCAGGCATCCACGTGACACACTGCTGAACATGCTCTGTATGAGGCAGGGGTGAAAATAGTGACAGTCATTGATGAACGAGATATGTCGATGGTAACACACACAAGTCATGGCAGCAGCCTGAGGCTTTCAGGAAATGCCAGTGTGATTGGCACCCCTGGGCCAGGCTCTGTCTAGAGAGGGCTCAGCTCCACAACAATATTCCTCTATCTGGTCGCACAATGTTATCGCTCAACCCATTATGCACTTTTTGTCACACCTGTAAAGTAAATATTTTTTTAATCACATTGTTCAAACAGGACTGTTGAAATTGTATATTCTAGTAATATTCCTGGCAGATATTTGAAATATCCCCTGCCCTGTATTATGGGCTGCTTTGTTCACCGTGTAATTCCTGATGGACATGTAGGATCTCCCAGTATTGTGGAGGGGAGATATAGAGAAAGGGGATGTCTGCCACTATACATCGCCTCTAACCACAGAATGGGGATCAGCCATCATCATCTTGAGTAAAGAAATGGGCATAAAGTTAACGAAACAGGTTTAATATCTGTATATGAAAAATTAAGCACGAATTCTGATTGCTCGGAATGAGCAACAATTCAATTTTCTGCTCTGTTCTTTCCTCTGTAAAATATCCTATTCCCATATATATACATATATATTTATATATAGCCTGTCTATCTATCTATCTATCTATCTATCTATCTATCTATCTATCTATCTATCTATCTATCTAAATATCTTACTTTCTGTCTACTCTTTGGTGGCTGGTTTAATTTTTTTTTATCAATTTATTATAATTGCAATATTTCTATTAATATTATTATTATTATTGTTATTACTATTGTTATTATTCTTCTTATTATTTACAAATAACAATACATTACTAAATAATAATAATAATAATACAATATTGTAAGGTTTTGGTTTTTCCATCATGTATAATCAGGCTCACAAAGTTCAATTGCGGACACAATAATGTTAGTGTGTAGTTTAGGAAGTAATGTCCCTGAAAATGAATGTCTAATTACACATGAGACCAATATATCACTGCAGTTTGTATTAACACAGCACCCTTGTATTTTTACATTCGGTATAAAATAAGACATCATTTCTATGTAAACTTTATTGTATCTTTTTTCATCCATCATACAAATGCTGAGACAATATATATAGATTACTGAGAAGATTTCAGGAAAATGCAGAGACTTTAATTTAATTATTTCCATTTTTTGTGTATATGTAGCAGATACTGTAGTTTATTTTCGGTAGCTGTATTAGATTTTCGGTAAACCTGGTGCAGCCGGCTGACCTATGCATGGGTGAGTATAATTCTTATATTAGAAGAAGATTCACCTTTGTGAACTAGCCCAGCCATCGTCTGAACAATAACTGGGTGTCAGCAGTTAAATCACACTGCATACATATTTGTATGAAGCGAGAGCAGTGACTGGTATAATATTAGAGTGATATTCAGAGAAAGGAACTATTATCTCCGTTGTATCAAAAAATGAAGTGCAGCACTCTACTCAATAAATACCTAAACTAATACATATACATAGAGATCTGTGCCTATGTTACACATCAATTCGTGTGCTCAAATCCATTTCACGTGTCATATTCTAATTTATATTTGCACTTTTATGGTGTCGTAATTCTTATAATAATAAATGCAAAACATATACTATAATCCATCATACATATGAAAATATGGAAATAGAGAAGCCCATTTATCAGAGAGTTGGCTCAATGTTATCAGAAGCAATTTAAAAATTAATGTCTTGTCAATAGAAAAATAAATGCACAAAAATAAATACACATATACTACAAACCGTCAGAAGGCAATGCACACAGTGCACGTAGGGCAGGTAGGGCACACAGAACAGACAGCGTACACAGGGCAGGCACTGGTAGGGCACACAAGGCATGCAGACTTGCTATTAGCTGAATTTATCAAAATACAGTAAGCGGTAATATGTATAAGACGGAATACCTGACACCAAATCGTACACCTTGTCAACGAACGAATACTAAATTATATATTTTAGAATGTTTCTAAATCACTGCTGAGGATCCATGAGGTTGTTATTGTCTTTAATTAGTTACATTTAACTTGTATAGCGTCGTCAACGTTT